CTCGTTGTGACGTAAGCAAGGACAAAAATCTGATTGGTCATGCGCATGAGCATACCCTTGTCTTTTTATCATGTCTGTGTCCTAGCTGGAAAACAGCCAGTGCTAGTTCAGTGCAGCACTAGTGGCACACTAGTTCAGAGAAAAAAAAAACAAACCTATCTGGAAAACAGCCAGTGCTAGTTCAGTGCAGCACTAGTGGCACACTAGTTCAGAGAAAAAAAAACAAACCTAAGGGCCTGAGCACAATAGAGGAACAGGAATTAGATATTAAGATTTTAACCTATCAGAAACTGATTACATCGGAATACACGGTTTCTGATAGGTTGAAATCTTAATATCTAATTCTTGTTCCTCTATTGTGCGCAGGCCCTTATGTTTATGTTTACGACACTTTAGCGGTCGAAACATGGCGGCGTAGGGAGTGGTGGTTGGGATCCGATCTGGTAGTGAGGGTTCGATGTCGCTTCTCTCTATATATAGGACTCTAGTCGCGAGGCAGAGCGATACTTGTTTCTGCCATCATTTCATTTCATGCAAAAACACGTAAAATAAGCTTAATTTTATTGATTTTTAAGGTGATTGTGCTAAACCTTTAGTATAATTATCTTTTTACATCACACATGGATTTACTTGCGATATCCACTCTGATTTGTATTTTGGATAATATTGTGCCATTTCTGATTAGATTTGTGAGTATTCTGGAAAAATATACCCTTTTACATCTTTATATTAAAGTTTGTAAAACCTTTATTGGAACTTGTCATTAAAGATGATTATAAGCTAATGAATCACTTTTTATTTTATTTGCAAATCTTTCGAATATTTATGTTAAAATTGATAAAAATTGTTTGTTTTCTCATAAATAATATTTAAAGATATTTAAGTTGTATTGAACTGTGCTCAATAATTTAATATTCTGTTTTTATTAAATACAGATTTCATCACATATATTGGCACAAAAAAGATATGACATTGAGCTGCGAAAAGAATTGAGTAATTTGAAAGAAAATATGGCAGGACTCTCCATGGTGGATGAGTTTGCCAAATGTGCTAAGCTCCAACGCCGATGCAATCATGTGGAAAATATTCTGAAAGAAAACAGTAAGTTTTTCCTCCATACTTTATCGAATAAAAATTTGTAACAGATTATCACTCTGAAAGTATCCATCTTATTAATGTTGGATCCAGGAATTGGTTGTTTTTGACAGAAATAAGATCTATATATTTGATATAAGGTTGTTTTTTTTATTATTGTCTGTTTGTCACAAAATTTTATATGTATCTCTGACTTTGTACAATCTTTCCTTTTTTTATAGTGAATCAACGATTAAATCAGAAAATAAAACTACAGATGTTGCTAATTTATAGTTTTCGTGTACTGAACGTACGTATATTGCTTGTTTAAGCAAGTATTTCAGTTTTTTACTACAATCATATTAGATTATCAAATTACAATCATATGAATTTTTTTTCATCTGTCATACATTAAAATAAATTTACTTTTGCATGCTACCACATGAACTAAAAGAGCAGTTCATGATAAATTTCATTATTTTATTGATTAAGTAGTGACACAAAAAAGAATTAAAATATCTTGCATATATATTATAAGGAGGGAAATTGATATAATTTTTCCCTCTTGTAATTCAATATGATTATAGTGAAAAATCAGGAGTTTTATTCCTTATCCTTTTCACGCTCTATATTATTTTTTCAGGGTGCATTAATATTATGGTTATGGTATATGTATAAAGACAAACCAGTTATTGTTTTCTCAGATGATTTGTTATGGCCAATCCAGAATTTCTTAAGTTGGCCATGTCAGCATAAGAATGCTATTTCTCTGTTAATATGGCTTATAATCACCCGATTAGGAATATCAGCATGTAAAAAACTTTGTGTAATTTAATAAATTGTCATGCAAATGATTAATCTGTTAGCTTATTATGAATTCTGTTGACAGGAAGAGAGAGAGAGAGAGAGAGTAGTTAAAAATACTTTATATTACATACTTAAAGGGAGCTCTCTATCTTGTGATTGAACTTGTGTGATCTACAGAAAAATGAATAAACGAATTTCGCAGCAACAAGAAATATTTTAGTTTTACAAGTTTAAAGATAAAAACAGAAATAATCCATTAGTGATTATTGTATTACACCTGAAACCAATTTAAATTTGTAAAATCATTGTGTTTGATATCTTTCGTCAAGAATTATACAGTTTAGGGGTCCCATCTCACAAAAATCAATAAAATTAGGCTCATTCGACGCGTTTTTCATGAGATGAAAGAATCTGGCAGAAAAAAGTGTCGCTCTGCCTCGCGAACCGAGATATTAAGCGTTATTATAGACCTACAATAAGCCGCAAGTCAGAACGTCAGAAGTCTTAACCAGTCTTAACCAAGTCGTTTAAGTTAGCTATTGGCCAACTTCACCGATTATGACTTAAGGGCTTCACACATGAAATGCATAACAGAGCATAAGCATAACATAAAACTGCTGGACCAATGAGCATCTAGCATAATGTCGCCATATTGATTTACATAAGATGCTCATTGGTTTAGCGGCCTTATGTTATGTTTATGCTCTGTTATGCGTTTCATGTGCGATAGCCCTTAAGATCGCTTATTAAGAGGGGAGCACAGGCTTTTCCGTAACGCATAATGCATAAGGCATAAGGGAATAAACCAATCAGATTCCTTCATTTCTATCCCCACTACTCGTTCTGCGAGGATCGCATAGTGCGTAAAACATGATGCATAATGTGTCGAAAAATTCGTAAGGATGAATTTTTATGCTTATTGATGGTTATCGATGCGTTATGTAGACTAGTTCAGAGATTTGTGAAGGTTTGTACATTGAACAGACTACTGCCTTTTAACCTAAAATATTTAAGAAAAATGGATCACGACGCTTATTACATGGTCCATTACGAGGATGATAACGAATTTGATACTCAAAATGTGGTGGACGAAGACATAACCTTTATGAATGAAGATTCTGTGGATGGAGATGCAATCCTTATCTCCTTAGTTCAAAGTCATCCTTACTTATATAACAAGCAATTAAGTGACTTTAAAGACAGCCTGAAGAAAGAAAATGCTTGGATAGAGATAGCCAAAATTTTAAACATGAAAGGTATATCTCTCTAATTTTTGGTAATCTATAAATTAATATTAGTTTAACTTGAGAACTTGAAATGCCTATAACGAGCCGACACTAGGTGTTGATGTGTATGAAATATTTTATTGTATAGATGAGGTTTAACACATGTATAAACGTTTCGACTTCTGGTTTAAGTCCTCAGTATATAAAGTACATAGTCGATACCATTATGTTAAGTTGTCATAAATTGATTACATGTTCCATTCTAATCCTACATCTAATTGCTAGAATAAATGTATCTTAGATTATGACATTACAGTAATCCTTACGGCACATTCTCCACTTATTGAAAATTAATATATACAAGAGTGTGAGAATATATGTGGTACTGCTAGTTCAAATGTTAACGTTAACATTCTATATAAACAATAATAAAGCCAAAATGGATTGATGAATAGCTCAACACAAATAATAACACAAACATCTGTCATAGTGGATACTGGTACTATATTTTTGCTTTGTCCAATATTGGTGTTATGTTAAAAAATATGTAGATTGCAACTGATTTCACATATGTAAATAATTTGACATATTTTAATTTATGTATTTTCGTAATAATTAATTATAAGTAATTTTAAAAAATTGCGAAAATTACAAAATGAAAACTTTTTAATTCAGTTTAATCCATTTTACCTACCTGACAGATTATGTGGTCATTATCGAACACCCTGTATATATGTGTATATATTAAACAAAAAATTTTTCATCTAGAATGTTTAGAAAAAGTAAAAATCTTATAAATACAGAAGCTTGTGGAGATATGATCCAATTCTTTAGTGCTATAAGAGATGGAGACAATGCTATAAACAGTAATGGTGACTGAGAAAGTAAAAAAATTTATGGAACTCTTTTACTTTTTTCTAAGCTTCCCGATCGGGCCGAAAACGCTATTAAGTTGTAGACGTAAGCAACGCACAAGCATTGGCGTATGACTTTAACTTATGTACATTGTCGGCATTGCCTATGGCAATATATATAAGTTAAAGTCATACGCCAATGCTTGTACGTTATTTACGTCTATAACTTAAGACTGCCGTAAAGCGTTACGGAAATCCTTGTGCTCATATCCTTAGAACTTCTGACTTGCGGCTTATTGTAGAAGGCCTATTAAAGTTGACAATTATTGAGGTTAGGGAATATGTCACAGAGACAAAATTGGACAAAATCAACTTCTTCTTCTTCTATATTTGTATGGCCCTGGTTCCAACTGCAGTTGGATTCACGTGGTCAGTCCATCGACATCTAGAATGGACCGCTGATGGCAATGGTGGGGG